TGCATTAACTTTACGGAAATCCGTACAAAATCTTACTGTACCATCTGACTTTCCAACTAAAATACACGGGGAAGCCCATTCAGAAAAAGAAGGTACTGCAATATCGTGATCCTGCATATACTTAATTTCCCTCTCCATCAATTCCCGTTTTTCAGGTGCAACACGATAAAAACGCTGTTTAATAGGTTTTGCATCCCCAACATCGATATCATGTTCAACCCAATCTGTACGCGATGGCACATCATCAAATAATTCGGGAAAACTATGTAATAGGTCACATAACTCCTGGCATCTTACAGGAGATAAATGACGGAGAGTAAACTCCAAGTTGTGCAAGGACTCTGAATTATTCAAACGGCCGCGAAAAACACAATCATCGGGCGAAATGGTCTCCTCTTCCTCACCCACCAAACTCATATTACCCCCACCGATAGAAACGGCCGAAAGTGCTGGATGCAAAGGTGTCAAATTTTCTACAGGTTTGGTTTCTTTTTCATAATACGGTTTTAATAGATTTACATGGCACCGTTTAACTGACTTTTTCCGTGATGGCATTGAGACATCATAATTTTCATCAGTCAACTTTCGTTGTACAACAAATGGGCCATCGAATTTTGCTTCAAAAGGAGAAGAAACAATAGGCCGTAAGACAAGAACTTGATCGCCTGGTACAAACACTCGATGTTCAACCGTACGATCATAGAATTGCTTCATGTTTTTCTGATGTTTTCCCAGATTTAATTTAGCTAGTTCTCTAACCTGGATGAGTCGATTTTTAAACCCCAAAACATATGACGCCAAGTTTTTAGGAGGCTCTACAGCTTTACCAACCTGCTGAAATACAGACAACAGTCCACGAACATTATGGCCAAAGACCAAGTCATTAGGGCTGAAACCCGTACTCTCCTGGACTACTTCACGTGCAGCTAACATCATCCATGGTAAACCCTCTTCCCAATCTCTATCCAGCTGCACACAGTACGCACGGAGAAGTGACTTTAACGACTGGTGGAATCTCTCCAATGCACCCTGACTTTGTGCATGATACGCAGTAGATTGATTATGCTTAATGTGCAGCTGTTTTAACACCTGCTGGAAGAGATGCGAAGTGAGATTCGAACCTTGATCACTTTGGATGATTTTTGGAATACCAAAAACGGATATAAACTGGGTTAAAGCTTTCACAATAGAACGAGACGTAATGGTACGCAGTGGATATGCCGCAGGAAAACGTGTGTTCAAACACATCACAGTGAATAAATAACTGCTACCAGACTTCGAACGGGGAAGTGGCCCTACGCAATCAACAATAAGATGCTCGAAAGGTTCACCAGTAGCCTGAATTGGTTTCAACGGAGCAGGTTTCAACACCTGGTTCGGTTTACTCGTTAATTGGCAGGTTTTACATCTCTTAATATAAGCAGAGATGTCTCGTTTTAATCGCGGCCAAAAAAAATATCGCAACAGGCGATCATAAGTCTTACGCACCCCCTGATGACCTAATTGATCATGCGCAATTTCTATCATCATTTGTCGAAATTTAGTAGGAACAACTACTTGGAAAACAGGATCCCCAACAAAATCTTTGTGAGGACTCCATTTTCTCAACAACACTCCATTGTGAACGAAATATCCACGGGAAACGTCACACTCCTCTACCGGAAGAACAGCACTCTGGAAGAGTTCATGCAAAGAGGAGTCAGTCCGCTGTTCTATTCCTAAATCCTCTGCAGAAACAGGAAAAGACAAGGCAGACAAATCAGGCATAAACAACTTAGTGCAGATTTTATCAGATTTTATCTCTTTTTGATCACACACTTCATCCTCATTGGCACGTTTCATTGCACGAGTCACAACACACGCTGAATCCTGGCACAAAGAACTCAGTTCAGCTTCAATTTTATTATCAGTGGTCACTATGGGAAACACTGACGTATCAGCCCACACACGTTCACCTACCAGTCCATTTCCCAAAATAATATGGACCCCCTCAACTGGCAAAGCTGGTCGTACTCCCACTACAACCTCACCTTGAATCAAATCGGACTGAAGCCTTACCCTATGAAGAGGCACAGACAGAGTATTCAGTCCTATTCCACGAATTAACACACTCTCACCAGTATGAGACTGCGAGGAAAAAGGCAATACGGATTCCAAAATAAATGAATCCATTGCGCCAGTATCCCGCAAGATTTTAACAGGGATTTCCTCTTTCTCTCCAACCAGGGATACACGCCCCTCTGTAATAAAAGGCGAGTAAGAAGAGAAATCAACATCAAGTGTTTTACTTTCAACAACTTCACTCCCTGAAGACAGAACTGGTGCCGCAAGAGCAGAAGGCTTAGCATGTGAATTTTGTGCATTATGTTTGAATTTATTTTTAAGGACAGGACAATCTGCTTTCCAATGTCCTTTCTCATGACAGTAATTGCAAATCTTGCTTGGGTCAAAATTTCCAGTGAAAACACGGTTACTCTTAGACGGAGACTTTACATACTGAACATCACGAGCATGCCAATCCACAAAAGTGGTTTTGTGCGTCAGTACAAAATCATCGGCCAACATTGCCGCTTCCTCTGGCGTTTTAACATTATGCTCACTAATATACATAGCTATACGGCTCGGGACGGAATTTTTAAATTGTTCCAACACCATCAAGTGAATTAAATCCTCCAATGTTTTAATGTCTAATGCTGAACACCAATGATTAAAGTGTTTTCTCAGATCACGCACAAATTCTAAGTTTGTTTGCAACTGGTCTTTTTTCTGCCATCGAAAACGCTGTCTGTATGCTTCGGGTACACATTCATATGCTTTTAAGATTAGAGATTTAACTTTATCATAATCTTTACAATCATCAACCGACAATGAAGAAAATGCTACTTGTGCTTTCCCAGTTAACACACACTGTAACAGCGCAACACAATCATCATCTGACCAGTTCCTTAATTCTGCCATGCGTTCAAATAGATTAAAGAAAGTATCAGGATCTTCTTCATTGAATTTAGGAATAAGTTTTAGGTTTGAATTGATTGAAAACAACACACTCTGTTCCTGACCAGAACTAGAAAGCTTACCTTCTTTCATCAGGTTGAGCTTGAGAAACTCCAAATCCAATTTTGCCTTTTCTAAATCCATTTTACCTTGTTCCGCACGCAGTTTTAACTTCTCATGGTCCATCTTTAATTGTAGCAGCTCTTTTTGCTGTTCAAAAGACAAATTACTTTTTAATTCAGATGCCACTGGTACATATTCCTCCATCTCGGTGTCTAAGAAACCTTTTTCAATCAACTCAATTTTCAAAGCTACTTTAACATTATCTTTGAGCCTTTTATCTTTAATCACAATTTCATAACGTTCAGCAATACTTAATAATTGCTCTTTAGTACACCTGTCCAAAAATTCATGAGAAGGTGAACTAACAAACTCATCAATATCAGCCATGCTAAAATGACCAGAATAATTTATTCAGCACAGTGCAATCAAATAACGAGAGTTTTCCCTCTACCTTTCCAGTACCTCTACCTAACTCAACCCTAGTCTTCATGCGATTACTGGTGGGGGGTATTTATGCACTATAGCCCGCTGGGTGAAAAACGCAACTGGTCAAACCAGCGACGCCTTCAACACCACGGATGTGCTCCCGAGATAATTACTACTACCCACTTTCACCACAACACTACACAAAAATAACAAATCCGACACGTCTCAAAAGAAACATGCCGCTATGCCTATCAGAGAAAACTCACGTTCAAAAAACAATATTGCACATGTACTTACCAACTGGTGATTTCACACGGTGAACAAATTGACTTTGGCACAAAAACATTTTTGTGTGTCCAACAAATAATCAATTATCAAACTAAACGTCCACATTTTTTTTTTTACGCAATCAAATAACCAAAGCAAGGACGAGCCCCCAATTTGTTACGACCCTTGGCTCAAGGGAAGCAACAAAAACAAGGGACACACGTAAACCAAATTGTAGGCTCAAAAGTAATGTTTATTTAGCTACAAAAGTAATACAAAACTAAATAATAAAATGAAAACATTTAAACAAAATAGAAGTGTTTCTGTATTCATCAGCAAGATCAGTGTGTAAAGCAAGATGCATGGTCGAAAGTGTAATGCAATGTTGAAGTTGAAATGTAAATGCAAAAAGTAACAAAATACAACGCAAGCAAAAGGCAAAGTCCAAAAGCAAAGTCCAAAACCAAAGTTCCCTCTCCCTTGGCTCAGTTGGTGATCTCTTAAGAAGCGTCTAAGGCACGGTCACAGGTGTTTCCAATTGACTGCCAATTGAGGCAATTAGTGGGCTCCGGTACCAAACTGCAATTCTCAAAAGCAGCAGCAGAGGTCGTCACAGTACAGATGTGACGTAATGACGCAAAGACATTCTCAAGTCTCCCGCTGAAATCCACCAGTCCCACTGGAGTTACAAACATTATTAAAGCTTACCGTTGTGAATCGAGCTACGGCAGCAGTTATGAACACTGGCTGCTTGCTCAAATTATTTTGGATAATTTTTAACCCAAAAAAGCTACGGATTGCAGCTTTAAGTAAACAATTTGTTAAATTATTTAAAAGTACATTATGTAAATTTTCGTTCAAAATAAAATTTAAATGAGTCAATAATTCATCAATCCTTCTTCCAAAGCATGTTTTTGTCCTAACCTGATTCACTTTGGTAAGTGTTTATATTTTACACCTGTCGGGATGGTTTTCGCTGTAAATTGCGTACATGTGTCACTGACCCGTGTGTGTCTCGTTTTATCTGTGAAAAGAGTAAAGTTGCTTCATCTTGTGTGTGTGTGTGTGTGTGTGTGTCTTGTGTGGGAGTGGCGTGTGTGTAAGACATGGAGTCTCTAAATCTCTTATCTCCAAAGAATAAACTTGTTCATTCTCTGAGAATCAACAAAACAAACACTGGAGGGGAGAGTCTCTCGGCAGAGTTCTGTTCCGTGACACCGGTCAGTCTCTCAGAGGCTTTCCTGTGGTCTTCATATTGGCTCAGAGCAGAGGATGGAGTGATGCGGAGGGTGGAGTGATGATGGAGTGATGCGGAGGGTGGAGTGATGCAGAGGATGGAGTGATGAAGGAGGGTGGAGTGATGATGGAGTGATGCGGAGTGTGGAGTGATGGAGTGATGCGGAGGGTGGAGTGATGCATAGTGTGGAGAGGGTGGAGTGATGCGGAGAGGGTGGAGTGATGCGGAGGGTGGAGTGATGCATAGGGTGGAGTGATGCGGAGAGGGTGGAGTGATGCGGAGAGGGTGGAGTGATGCGGAGGGTGGAGTGATGCTGAGGGTGGAGTGATGCTGAGGGTGGAGTGATGCGGAGGGTGGAGTGATGCTGAGGGTGGAGTGATGCTGAGGGTGGAGTGATGCGGAGAGGGTGGAGTGAGAGGGTGGAGTGATGCGGAGAGGGTGGAGTGATGCGGAGAGGGTGGAGTGATGCGGAGAGGGTGGAGTGATGCGGAGGGTGGAGTGATGCGGAGGGTGGAGTGATGCGGAGAGGGTGGAGTGATGCGGAGAGGGTGGAGTGATGCGGAGAGGGTGGAGTGATGCGGAGGGTGGAGTGATGCGGAGGGGGTGGAGTGATGCGGAGGGTGGAGTGATGCATAGTGTGGAGTGATGCGGAGGGGGTGGAGTGATGCGGAGGGGGTGGAGTGATGCGGAGGGGGTGGAGTGATGCGGAGAGGGTGGAGTGATGCGGAGAGGGTGGAGTGATGCGGAGAGGGTGGAGTGATGCGGAGAGGGTGGAGTGATGCGGAGAGGGTGGAGTGATGCGGAGAGGGTGGAGTGATGCGGAGAGGGTGGAGTGATGCGGAGAGGGTGGAGTGATGCGGAGAGGGTGGAGTGATGCGGAGAGGGTGGAGTGATGCGGAGAGGTTGGAGTGATGCGGAGAGGGTGGAGTGATGCTGAGGCTGGAGTTATGCGGTGATGCGGAGAGGGTGGAGTGATGCGGAGGGTGGAGTGATGCGGAGGGTGGAGTGATGCGGAGGGTGGAGTGGTGCGGAGGGTGGAGTGATGCGGAGGGTGGAGTGATGCGGAGGGTGGAGTGATGCGGTGGGTGGAGTGATGCGGAGGATGGAGTGGTCCGGAGGGTGGAGTGATGCTGAGGCTGGAGTTATGCGGTGGTGCGGAGGGTGGAGTGGTGCGGAGGGTGGAGTGATGCGGAGGGTGGAGTGATCCGGAGGGTGGAGTGATGCGGAGAGGGTGGAGTGATGCTGAGGCTGGAGTTATGCGGTGATGTGGAGGGTGGAGTGGTGCGGAGGGTGGAGTGATGCGGAGAGGGTGGAGTGATGCGGAGAGGGTGGAGTGATGCGGAGGGTGGAGTGATGCGGAGGGGGTGGAGTGATGCGGAGGGTGGAGTGATGCATAGGGTGGAGTGATGCGGAGGGGGTGGAGTGATGCGGAGGGGGTGGAGTGATGCGGAGGGGGTGGAGTGATGCGGAGAGGGTGGAGTGATGCGGAGAGGGTGGAGTGATGCGGAGAGGGTGGAGTGATGCGGAGAGGGTGGAGTGATGCGGAGAGGGTGGAGTGATGCGGAGAGGGTGGAGTGATGCGGAGAGGGTGGAGTGATGCGGAGAGGGTGGAGTGATGCGGAGAGGGTGGAGTGATGCGGAGAGGTTGGAGTGATGCGGAGAGGGTGGAGTGATGCTGAGGCTGGAGTTATGCGGTGATGCGGAGAGGGTGGAGTGATGCGGAGGGTGGAGTGATGCGGAGGGTGGAGTGATGCGGAGGGTGGAGTGGTGCGGAGGGTGGAGTGATGCGGAGGGTGGAGTGATGCGGAGGGTGGAGTGATGCGGTGGGTGGAGTGATGCGGAGGATGGAGTGGTCCGGAGGGTGGAGTGATGCTGAGGCTGGAGTTATGCGGTGGTGCGGAGGGTGGAGTGGTGCGGAGGGTGGAGTGATGCGGAGGGTGGAGTGATCCGGAGGGTGGAGTGATGCGGAGAGGGTGGAGTGATGCTGAGGCTGGAGTTATGCGGTGATGTGGAGGGTGGAGTGGTGCGGAGGGTGGAGTGATGCGGAGAGGGTGGAGTGATGCGGAGAGGGTGGAGTGATGCTGAGGCTGGAGTTATGCAGTGATGCGGAGGGTGGAGTGATGCGGAGGGTGGAGTGATGCGGAGGGTGGAGTGATGCGGAGGGTGGAGTGATGCGGAGGGTGGAGTGATGCGGAGGGTGGAGTGATGCGGAGGGTGGAGTGATCCGGAGGGTGGAGTAATGCAGAGAGGGTGGAGTGATGCTGAGGCTGGAGTTATGCGGTGATGTGGAGGGTGGAGTGGTGCGGAGGGTGGAGTGATGCGGAGGGTGGAGTGATGCGGAGAGGGTGGAGTGATGCGGAGAGGGTGGAGTGATGCTGAGGCTGGAGTTATGCAGTGATGCGGAGGGTGGAGTGATGCGGAGGGTGGAGTGATGCGGAGAGGATGGAGTGATGCGGAGGGTGGAGTGATGCTGAGGGTGGAGTGATGCGGAGAGGATGGAGTGATGCTGAGGCTGGAGTTATGCGGTGATGCGGAGAGGGTGGAGTGATGCGGAGGGTGGAGTGATGCGGAGGGTGGAGTGATGCGGAGGGTGGAGTGATGCTGAGGCTGGAGTTATGCAGTGATGCGGAGGGTGGAGTGATGCGGAGGGTGGAGTGATGCGGAGGGTGGAGTGATGCGGAGGGTGGAGTGATGCGGAGGGTGGAGTGATGCGGAGGGTGGAGTGATGCGGAGGGTGGAGTGATGCGGAGGGTGGAGTGATCCGGAGGGTGGAGTGATGCGGAGAGGGTGGAGTGATGCTGAGGCTGGAGTTATGCGGTGATGTGGAGGGTGGAGTGGTGCGGAGGGTGGAGTGATGCGGAGGGTGGAGTGATGCGGAGAGGGTGGAGTGATGCGGAGAGGGTGGAGTGATGCTGAGGCTGGAGTTATGCAGTGATGCGGAGGGTGGAGTGATGCGGAGGGTGGAGTGATGCGGAGAGGATGGAGTGATGCGGAGGGTGGAGTGATGCTGAGGGTGGAGTGATGCGGAGAGGATGGAGTGATGCTGAGGCTGGAGTTATGCGGTGATGCGGAGAGGGTGGAGTGATGCGGAGGGTGGAGTGATGCGGAGGGTGGAGTGATGCGGAGGGTGGAGTGGTGCGGAGGGTGGAGTGATGCTGAGGGTGGAGTGATGCTGAGGGTGGAGTGATGCTGAGGGTGGAGTGATGCGGAGGGTGGAGTGATGCGGAGAGGGTGGAGTGATGCGGAGGGTGGAGTGATGCGGAGGGTGGAGTGATGCGGAGAGGGTGGAGTGATGCGGAGGGTGGAGTGATGCGGAGGGTGGAGTGATGCGGAGGGTGGAGTGATGCTGAGGGTGGAGTGATGCGGAGAGGATGGAGTGATGCGGAGGGTGGAGTGATGCGGAGGGTGGAGTGATGCGGAGGGTGGAGTGATGCGGAGGGTGGAGTGATGCGGAGGGTGGAGTGATGCTGAGGGTGGAGTGATGCGGAGAGGATGGAGTGATGCGGAGGGTGGAGTGATGCGGAGGGTGGAGTGATGCGGAGGGTGGAGTGATGCGGAGGGTGGAGTGATGCGGAGGGTGGAGTGATGCTGAGGGTGGAGTGATGCGGAGGGTGGAGTGATGCTGAGGGTGGAGTGATGCGGAGAGGATGGAGTGATGCGGAGGGTGGAGTGATGCGGAGGGTGGAGTGATGCGGAGGGTGGAGTGATGCGGAGAGGGTGGAGTGATGCGGAGGGTGGAGTGATGCGGAGGGTGGAGCGATGCGGAGTTTCAAGAGAAGGAAGTCAACATTCCATCAGAAGTGGATGAAGGTTGTTTTATTTTGACTCCTTTTATGCAGACTTTGTAGTGACACACAAAAAAAATTGCCAATCCTATGACCAAGAAATATAAAAATGAAAAAGTTTTATTTATTTTTGACGTACCGTAATTGTTCCAAAATCCCACCTTATGAACATTGTTCGGTCTTTCTCTCTTTACTCACAGATAGGGTCAGATTTCTCAATGTTCTGCTTAATTTGGTGATTTTTGTTGCATATCAGTAGAAATATGATCAGTTCTCCAGCAGCAGAGGGCGCTAGAGGTCTGCTCTAGTTACGTGTTTTTGTGGAAACTTACCAACTAACCACAGAATATCTACTAATATTTAAACATATATTTCACGAGGAAGCGAGCAATCATAATTATTATAAGATATTAGATGTTTAATACAAGTGATAAAAGTGATCAGACAAGAATTTATGATGGGAAACTGTATTATACAATATATATACATGCATATATATGTATATGTATGTATGTATATATATATATATAATGGATTTAGTTACATTTTTTAGTTAATGTTGTCTTAATTCACTTTTAATTTTAATAAAATTGTATGAATTAAACAGCTTGTAAACATACTTTTTCACTGACAAAATTTAAATAACCTGTTAAACATGAAAGTATTATGCAATAATTTTAGACATTTCTCCTCATATAGATAAAATGAAGTCAAGAACCCTAGAGTTCTGTAGAGCAACACTGAACCGTTCAGGGAGAAGTAGCAAAGAAACTGCAAACATTTGACACTAATTTGAAAGCAAGGAGTAAATGCCGTGAGAAGATCAGGCCCGTTATCTGAAGGGTGGATTCCCGATGGATTCTGACAGAATAAAGTGACGTTATTCATGCTTTAGACTGAAGTCAGATCTCAGCACTGCTATTGGCTCTAGTAAAGTCAGATCTCAGCACTGTTATTGGCTCTAGTAAAGTCAGATCTCAGCACTGCTATTGGCTCTAGTAAAGTCGGATCTCAGCACTGCTATTGGCTCTAGTAAAGTCAGATCTCAGCACTGCTATTGGCTCTAGTTTTCCGTTCAGTCGCAGTGTGGTTTTCTTTGTGTATATGAAATATCATTGTGTCTGATATGATTTTGATATGGACATCAAAAATATCATGTTTCAAGACGTATATGTCTGTGTCCATATAAAGAGGGAAGTGCGCAGCAGTGTGTGTGTGTGTGTGTGTGTGTGTGTGTGTGTGTGTGTGTGTGTGTGTGTGTGTGTGTGTGTGTGTGTGTGTGTGTGTGTGTGTGTGTGTGTGTGTGTGTGTGTGTGTGTGTGTGTGTGTGAGTGAGTGTGTCAGTGTGAAAATGAGAAAAGTGTTGCATGTTGCTTCAGAGTTTGCTTCCTCTGAGGTTTTCATAAGAGACTGGATCTGAACTGAAGCTGACATACTCTAGTTTCCTATATTGGCATTCACTGAACGCAGATGGAAAATAATAAGCATAGCTGCTGTTCATAACCTTAAGAAGATAATCATGTGCATTTGATCTGATATAACTCTATAAGGTTATGCGATGCCTCATATGAACGCTAGGCTAAAGAGAAGCGTCTTTAATCTTGATTTAAACTGGGAGAGCGAGTCTGAGACCCGGACATTATCGGGAAGGCTTCTCCAGAGTTTAGGAGCCAGCTGTGGAGACGCTCTCCTATACTCTATACTTCCAGAAGCCCAGGGTTGTGTGAGCTTAAAGAGTGTGATGGGTCGTGGGGCGATAGTTAAACACAGGAGCTGAACCACTCTGGCCTTACAGGGCAGCAGCAACACTTTAGAAATGATACAGAAGTTTATAGGTAACCAGTGTAGAGATGATAAAACTGCTGTTATGATCATATTTTCTTGACCTAGTAAGAACTCATTCTGGACTAACTGTAGCTTGTTCGTCGAGGATGCAGGACAACAGCTAGTAATGCATCACAGTAATCTAGTCTCGAGGTCATTAGCATGAGCTCCTCGGCATCAGAAACAGGAGCATGCTCCGGAGACTAGCGGCTGTTTCAGTAACATATGAAATATGATTTTTGAAAGGCAAGTTGTTGTCTAATATAATGTATTCTAAGACATTCTGTGTACAGGTTTTTGCTCCAATAAGTAATTCCTCAGTTTTGGCTAAATTTAATAGAAAAAAATTACAGGTCATCCAATATTTTATATTTTTGACACACTCTGTCAACTTGGATAATTTACAGATTTTATTTGGTCGTGATGAAATGTATAACCGAGTATCATCACCATAACAGTATATGTCAGCGGTCGCACGCCTCTGGAGCAACTAGGGGTTAAGTGTCTTGCTCAGGGACACATTGGTGTCTCACAGTGGATTCGAACCCGGGTCTCTCACACCAAAGGCATGTGTCTTATCCACTGCGCCATCACCACCCCACCCCATCCCATCCCATCCCATCCCATCCCATCCCATCCCATCCCATCCCACCCCATCTCATCCCATCTAACCCCATCTAACCCACCGCACGGCCTGTCCCTGAACGCCAGTAGTTGATCTGTAGTTCTGTAGTTGATCTAAGAGTATTTTATGATCTATAGTGTCGAACGCAGCGAGTAAAACTAGTAAACTAGTAAAACGTTGTAACTTTAACGAGTGCAGTTTCTGTGCTGTGATGGGCCGAATCCAGACTGACACCTTTAATACATATTATTTTGTTTAAAAAAAATAGCACAATTGAGCGAACACAACTTTTCTAGACATAAACGGAAGATTTGAAATGGGTCTGTAATTAGCTAATTCATTTGGATCTAATTGTGATTTCTCAATGAGAGGCTTAAAAAACTGATCTTGGAACATGACCTAGAGATAAAGACGACACTTTTATTCAAATTTAAGGAATTTAAGTTA